GGTTTAATTTTCCAGGTGATCTTACTGTTCACACTAAAAGTAAAATTCGCAGTTAAGGCACAATATGAAGAAGAATGCATACTTTAACTTTGATGGCTGCCACTTTCAGGATGACATGGTAAAGTTACAGGTTTTCTTTCAATTTCATTTTAGGGAACTAAAAATACCTGGTAACTTTAACTTAGAATAGAGGACAATTTATGTATTTGTTATGCTTCCTTAGGTGCAAGGACTTTCCCAGTGTAAACTGCATTACTTAATCATTTAAAGATAAATTAGTCTACACTATTGCAATGACAAAAGACATGATGTCTGCAAGTGAAGTATAACTGATATCAGACAGATGACAGCGCTGAACGATCAGAATTGAAAGCAGGATGTTTCTTTAGAGATGTTTAGTGACAAGTCACTTCTTCAGTTTGTAAGTGTATGGAATTGGGATAATGGAATGATGACAGGGCAGTGGTCAACAACAAATTTCGACCAATGAAATTTTGAGAACTGCAAAACTGAAATAGGATATCAGGTTTCATGAAGCCCTATGGTACCCATGTGCTCTCATTTTTAGATTCTGGTTTTTTTTTTACTCTCCCTTAATATTTTTCATGGCTGCAAAATCTTCTGACATTAAATTCCTCTGGCATCTGAGTAGGGCAGAAGAAATTTAAGCTTAATTTACAAAATCACAAGGCTAAAATTGCTTTCCTGTTATTTACATTTAGATATGGCACTTTAAACTTCAGCAGTCCCTGACCAGAAGAGCTGAAAATCAGTGGAAGCTCTCCACCTTAAATTTTCATGGCCACAGGATGAGAAATAAAAATGAAATGTATAAACTTCAGAACAACGACAGATTCTTAGATGTGGGGCCCCATAGAACTGACTGTCCTGCAATCACACTGTGGAACAGACCTCTCTTGGACAGAGTTGGAGCTGTCCAAAACAGAGTCATGAAATAAGAATGATGAGTACCTGAGGTCACTGTGGACACTCTGTGCTACACACACATATTAATCTGGAACAGCATTTAGCCTAGAAGTGGGAATTAAATGAACCTGACATAAATAATAAGACCATTTGATTATCACTGTCACCTATAATGGATCATGTCAACTACAGAACAGCTGGCAAGATGTACTGTGCTCTTGTTTATGTACTAATAACCACCCAGCTCTGCACGGGTGGTGCTTTACTGACACTGAGTGCTTATACAAACCTTCACCCTTCATGCTGCTGGTAAGGATGCCTGGCTGCTCTTATTGTTAGCCACTATTATTTGTATACTATTCAAAAGCCCATAGCAATAGAACAGAACCCTGTCACAAATTAATGGGTCTCTATTAACTGAAAATGTTAATGCAAAAATGAATTTAAAGATGTTAATTTTTCAAGCAACATGAGTTGCCTGACAGCACTTTATTACAGCAATGTTACTTACTCCTTCCCCCTCCCACGGTTTAAAAAGCTACTGCAATAAACATCAGCCGATTAGCTACATCCAACATTGCCTTTTTGTTTTCAATTTACACATAAAAAAATTCATTTACAGAATGGCTGAGAGCAGCCTGGCCTAATGAAAAGCATCCCTGCCCATGGCAGAGGGATTGAATCTAGATGATCTTTAAGGTCCCTTCCTCAGGGGAGTTACGAGTGCTGCTTATGTCAATCACTTTTACATGGATATATATTCAAGGTCTGCATAAACCCAGCTTGAGGCATAAGCAGCATCTCTAAACTCTACAAAAATCATAGCACAAAGTTTGGCCCATAGTAAAAATTAACAGTACTTTAGCAAATCCAGCAAGCAATCAAAAGTATTACAAGCTACTTCACAAAAAACAGACCTGAAAAGCAATTCAAAATAATGCTTAATGGTTTTAAAGCATTAGAAGCATGCATCATTATTAAAACCAAGCTATTTCTGATCATCCATAGCAAGGGTGGCAAATAGACATATGAAGCATATCCATATCCCTGCATGTGGATATGCTTCATATGTCTATTTGTTTCACATTTACTGTCTTACAAATATCCTTCAGCTCTTCGGCTGAATTTCTAAGATGTTTAATAGCAAACATTTACTAAAATCTGGTTGCTTCTCCTATGAGAAGTCATACAGTGTGATCCTCTAATTGCAAAATGACCTCATTACTCAATAGTTAAGACAAAGAATATTCCCCACTCCCTTTTAATTTTAAACTTTTCATCAGACAGCAATAGATTTTTATCACAGCCAAGTCTTCTGAAGATATAGATGCTGCACTTCTCAGTTCACACTTCACACCTTTGAGATAGAATTCTACGGGGAGAAGTCCAGTTTTTTAATGGCCCAACTGTCCCAGACTTACTTCTTGTCAAATATCACGAACAGTAAAGTACGATTGTGGCCAGTGATCTCACTCTCACCAGATGAAGATTGCTTTCAAGGTCTGTAAACAAATTTATCCATTGTCCAAAATCAAAGAGCAATTCTCTCCATTAAAATGATGAAAAGCCTCTAGGGTTGTTATAGCTGTTACCACATCTGGTATTTCTCAGCAGTGAGACATTGACAGTTCCCACTCATAGCCTCAGGATTGTCTTCATAGTAATAAACAGGAGCCCCTGCACTCAGTCCTTTTATTAGTGTCTATTTGTATACATTCAAAACCCTTCAAAATCTGCTTGCCAGGAACATTTAACCACTTCAGAGAGATAAAGAAGACCAAATCCATACTCTAAAAAGATGCAGTAATAGAATCTTCTGTTTTTCAGTACACACATTTTCTTATTTGCAAACAGAACTAATTTTAATATGCCAAAGTTTCCTGTAAAAAAAATGACAAGCCTTTCTCACACTACTACTAAGGGTCCTGAACCTGCTGTAAAAGGAAAAAAAATATTGTTTTTAAGTAATTATATTACATTAGAAATTAATTTTAATTTAATGCAAAAAAGTTCTTGTGATTTTGAACAAGTCCCTGGGAACTTTGCATCATGTGTTAATCAAGATTAAACAAGACTGAGTGTATATAACATGTAATTTTTAAGGAAGGGGAAAAGTATGAATTGGGGAAGGTATTCAGAAGGGTTAACATCAGCTCCTGCAGGTTTAATGCCTAAATTGCTTTCTCCAGCCAGTGAAGAGATAAAAGCTTCTCAGAGAGTCACTCAGAGCTGCAGATTTGTTTAGCTACACTGAATCTCTCTGGAGGACTTCAGCTTGTTAACTTCAGAAGCAGCCTGCAGAGATTAGCCTCAAAAAGATCACACTTTCTTTTGTGAACACTCCCCAGTATTTATTTACCTTCCATCAGCAGCTGAAATTCACTACTGAGATGTACTGTTGGGTATACTGTATTTAACTCTGAACACTGCATTGAACATGGACTGAAGTTCACCCAGCTGGAGCTTGGCACTCCTGCTAGAATCTCTGCAACAGTATCCACAACACTGCTAGGATGACTGCAGGACTGAATTTTTCCAAGTGCCCCATTGAAGTGCTTGGTTTGAAGGCCACCGGGATGCTGCCATACAAAAGACTGCCATGCTCCAGCACCTTCAGAATCCACTAGTTGTGCAGCCGTGCTGGCACAGCTCCTTCTCTCACTCCGACTGCTCCTCGTATCACTGGAGCAGCGGTGGGAGCTGGGCTTTTGTGATCAAGCTAAACACAAAGAATAAGAATTCTCAACTTCTGAGAACTACTCTCAAGAATTTTTATAATTCTTACATAGTAACAAGAAAAAAGGAAAATAACCTTTTCATCTCAAACATATAATAAAGTTGGATTTTGTGACAACAGAGAAAAAAAACATACTGCTGGCAGAACTTATTATCAGGGCCATTTTCTAACTTCTACTGTATTTTATCAGATCATTGTGCTTTCCTCCCTGAAAAATGTCCAAGATATCTCCAAATTTTATCAAAATAAAACTTCTATGAACTCATATAAACCAAAAGAACAGTTAGAGATACTTGAAAGTTTTGGTGGGAGCTTTAACAATTTATGCTTCTGCCAAATTTTTTTTCAGAGACTATCTTTTTAACATAAATCAGCCATCCTTTCATAAATGTAGAATACAAAAAAAAAAAAAACTACTCTTCAAATTGACTTCAGCAAAGGTGCAACAAAATGAATCATAAACACACAAAAAATTTTTTTCAAATACCACTTAGGTTATAATCAGAACTGAAAACAACACAACTGCCAGGTAGAGTTGATTTCCAAAGTACACCATGAAGTATGGACAGTCAGAAAGGTATTAATTTAGTAGCACAGCATTTCCAGAATCTTCTAACAACTCCCAAGCCTTAGAATCTTAAAGTTGCCTATACAACCATGTCAAACACAACAAAATGAACTTGCAAAGGTCAAGTCAACTTGCAAAGTTTGGTAAGTATGTTTTAGCACTGAAATCGTCTCTTTACCAAACAGAAAAGCCACATTCAGATTTTAGAGGCCATACTGAGACAAAGGTGTAATGAACAGAACACTAAAAATACCAGTTATTTTTCCAAATGAACAAATTCTTAGCATGCTACATGAACTACCTGCAATGCAGTATGTCAAATACTTTATGCTCTGTTATAACCCAAGTAGCAGTGTGAGAAATGTTAGCCGCCACATGAAATAATTTTTACATAACCCTCAATATATAAACATCAGAGCATCCTAGTTTCAAAATGCAATTAAATCATGATTCCCTTTCAAAAACACTGCACCTTTAGACAGGAAAAAAAAAGATTCCTATTTGTTATATTCCAGTATCAGGTGCTTTCTCAAGCATTCAGTCAAGAGATTTGCAGCTAAAAATTACAAGCAATTAATTTTGCTCATACTAATTATATTGTGGCATTAGACTAACAAAAACAAGGCACTCTGCCCTTTGGGGCAGTGTTCTGTAGAATTCTGGATAATAACTATCTTTTGGCTCAAAATGAATCCCAAAGCATGCTGAATAATTAACAGGAACAATTTTTAATTATTGTCGAACTCTAAGAATACAAGAGGAACAACATTTGCACTTTTTCATTTAATTGTTTATTAAACTAAAGAAAAATATGGAATTTTACAGTTTATCTTAAATGTGGAAGCTGTTTATAGGCAAATACTGATTTCTGGAGAGTTTTTCTTTACTTCCTGAGCTTACACCCACTCAGAAGGGCATTTTGTACTTCTGCATTATCTGACACATTATCTGAACATCTTTCTAAAGCATGACGATTGCACAGGACAGTTGCATTTGTGAGAATACTCACTTAACCAAGCACTGCACTACCCATTGTTCTTTCTGTTCAACTCAGCAGAACAGAAAAAAATGCAATATGGTAAGATTTTGCCAAATACATTAAATCACAGCATAGACAACCAGTTCAGGAAAAGCAGCAATTTCTCTACTTAAAATACACAACTGATAGTTTACACATGGCAATTTCTAATCTGAACAAAAATATTTCATAGAATTCTGTGCTGTTTTCTATGTAACAGGCAGCAACAAAACCATGACTTCTGGAAAGAACCAGTATTAGTTTACTGAAAAAGGAATGATGTATTTGACCAGTCTACACATTCCCAAATGACAGTGCAATCCTTCCAAGATGATGGCACTTCATGTGAGGAGACTAGGTCTCACAAATTCTCTGAATTTTAATTTAATTTAACTTCACAGTATGTCAATATGAAGTCTTAAAACATAGAAATCTCTGTATTCTCCTTTATCTCAAATACTTACAGCAATTAAAACTTAGAATTACTTTGGAACATTTGGCAGCTGTTTACTTATTTGAGTAATAAACTCCTGAAATTTCCCCTCTACTTGAGATCAGTACTTGAGCCAGGTGAAAGCTGTTCCCCTAAACATGGAAATAACTAGGAAAAAAAATACAGGAAAAACCCCAACTTTTAGCACACATTAGGAATAATTTCTTTGTAGCAACATCATAACACAGTTTTCCCTTTCATGAAGTAGGCTCAATAATATCCAGTATTTTAAGTATCTATTGATGGTGGCTGTATTTACTCTTGTAGTGTCAACCTGGAGAGAAGTCTGCCTTTCTAACATGCAATCAGGCTGTTCTACCAATCAGGGAAGAATCAGTGCATGAGTTAATGTATTTTAACAGGAAAATGAACCTTTATCTCTGTTTCCAATGAAAAAAATCAAATCCTGGGAAGTCATTTCTGCTTGCTTTAAAAAAGTCCAATTCATCAGTTGCATTTTGAAGTTCCAAAATAAATAGACCTCTGCTGCAAAGCAATGACACCTATTCCCCAGCTTTCAGGAGATGTTATTAGCTCCCAACACGATCTCTGGGAATGAGCCGTAGATCTGAACCATGCTTTAGAAACACATTTCCTAAACAAAGAAAGAAAACAGGATGTATTACTAACCAAGAAAATACAATGTACCCTCAACAAACACATTTAAAGGATAACAGTGTTAAGTCAGTGTTTAGCAGCTTCATAGTAATTGCTCTGACATACCAGAAATAAAGTTTTCATGTTTCCATAGAATTTTACCTTGTCCCTCTCTTTCCAAAGAGCTCTTTATTTTAAATGAAAATGCTACACCTTGCAAAGTGTAGCCTTTCAAACTCTGTACACTCGAATGCCTTGTTTCACTTACAAGCCAGAAAACAAAGTTTTACTTTCCCTGAATTATTTTGTTTTCTGGAGCTCATTCATGCATTCATTCATTTTTATTTCTCTCCTTGGTTCAGTACTTTTTGACTTCTAATTCAGAACCTTAACTTCTTTTAGGAAGGTTCTCCAAATGTCCAAGTGTAAGTTAGTCCCATTTTAGCATAAAAATTATGCTTTCAACTTCTTATTTATTACTGCATTGTCTTAATCATCATAGTCTTTTCACAAAGACATAATAAAAATTAGAAATTTCTAATATTTAGATGCGTTGAAATTTTTAATATGTTCAGGTTGCTATTTTTTTATTAAATGTAATATTTGAAAATTAAACCATATCACTAAGTAATGTATTTATTTAATTAATATATGGAATATTTACTTTTTTACTTCATACTACTATTGCACAGAATCAACCATATTTGATTCCTTATTCAACCTTGAATTAACTTCTAAAACAGAGTAATTCTATTTCTGTCCCAAGCATCCCATTCCAGGGATGAAGAGTGCTCTGACAAATAAGATTAAGGTATTTGACATCCATTTAATTTGTTTGCATATTAGAGCAAAGCTACCCTTTTTTGAACTCCACTTCTCCAGCAAATGGATCAAGATCAAAATCATTGTATATATTCAACATAATGAACCTTAGAAAATCAATTTAAAATAATATGCTATCCGAAGACATTCTGATCTTACAGATCTGCCAACACATGGTACTAAAGAGATCTATAAAACCCACTGAATGCAAACCTGTCTCATCAGCAAAACAGAGAACTGCCTACTAACCTTACTATTCTAGATTGGAAACATCCGTTTGTAATGATAAAATTCGTAACTTTTTAAAACAGGCCTCATGGAGACAGCAGCTCACCTACTCACCTTGGTCTGTTTTCATCATTAATATCACATTGGTTTTATTAAAGTTATAGCATACTACTCCCCATACTATCAAGGATTTAAAACTGAAATCAATACAGGGATTAAGTGCTAAGCCTAGTTTTTGCAGCTTTAATTTCCCCTGCTCCATGAAATCATGTAAGGAAAATGGAAGTCATACTTGAGTGCTTTTTTTTAGAAAGGAAGGGAAATGGTGCAACAGTACAAAACCTCTGAAATCCCCAAGGATTACTAAAATTTTATTCCTGTGTATCTTATTTTGGAAGTTTTTTAAGACTAAAATAACTCTTCAATCTGTAGGAATTCTGATAAATAGAAAGAAGGGCAAAAAGTAGATTTTGAGATAGCAATTAATGAGGCTGAACAGAAGATTATACCTAAATTATGCATGTTACTTGTAAACTAAGGAGGGATTTTGGTCTGAGCGCAAGCTTTGGTGTAGGCTGTACTTCGCTTGTTTTGTTTGGGTTGATTTTGGATGTTTGTTTTATTGTGGACTGGTTTGTTTTGTCCTCAGTTAAGGGCAACATCACACAGCATTGCCAGAACACCTATGTTAAAGAAAACATAATCCACATGCCTAATGTTACATCTGCAGAATAAGGCAGTGATGATAACATTTTGCACCTAGATGCTTTTAATTTACCTGTTTCTTGATTATGTGATACTGTCTTATACTACTGAATAATTCTTCAATATTTATAAGAGCTTAGGAGAGATAAAGCAAATCACCTGCAGATGTGAGTTCAATATGCACAGCTGCAATTACAATGAACTACTGTATTGATACTTTCATTCAGCAGTCAATAGCTCTAAATACACTTGCTTTAAAGGATTAAGCTACAACTAATGTAAGCTACATCATACAAGATGAAAGCATACTGCTGAGGAAGAGAAACAGCCTAAGTATACCTTAAGCAATTCTACCATTTTGCTTAAGTATTCATCAGTGGTCATGTGAAAGTGTGGCTTTACATGTGGATGATGATCTAGTAACTAAAGTAAATTATTAGATTTATTATCTGTTTTTAATACACTCAGTCATGGGAATCATGATAAGGACAGCATCAGCTGAGAAGTCTGCCTGAGGTAGTACACCTGTGAAATCATAATCCAGGTATAGTAAGGCAGGACAGAAGTCTCTGGTGGAGTAGAAAGCCAAATATTTATTTGATCTTCATTTTCAAATGTTGTTGATGCAAACACAGACTGCAGAAATAAGTCTCTACACTGAAATTATTTCTTTTACAACTCCAAGAAATTCCCCAAATTGATGTCAAGCAACTGCTTTTCTCACCATCAGATACTGTTCTGTGCTTTGCAAGGATTTACTTTATACTCTCTATTTTACACAGCTAAGTGTGCTGCTAATACCTTGTTTTATTTTTCCTGTGTAGTGACTGGCCTTCAGTAATGACTAGCAGTCAAAGGCATAAATGAGACAGATGGATGCAAAAACCAGAAGAGCAGCATGTCTCCCTCAACCATTCATCATGTTTGCAAGTAGGAGTAATATTATTCAGTTTTCACTGGATGACTGGATTCCATAAGGAGCAAAGCCATTTTTACTAGTACTTATGAGGTAAGAAATGTTCACAACTTTCTATCAAGATACTGTTACACTCTCTTCTCAAATGGTTTAAGATTAGACTATTGAAATTATTTCCCAATTAGTTTAAAAGTATAGCTCTTCAAGAACAAGTCCACACAATCTGCCTCCAGACAGCAGCCCATTATCGGTACAACTCAACCTCTGTACTCTGTTTCCATATATTTCAGGAGGTGATGAGAAAGGGCCTTACACTCTCCTGTGACAGAGGCAAACTCTCCTCTCATAGCAAGCCTTGACATCTGAAATCAGGGATTTCTGACACAGAACCCCTTGGTGACAACAAGACAGCTATCAGTAAGAATCAAAAAATGGTTGGATTTGGAAGTGACCTTTATGATCACCTAGTTCCAACCCAACTCTTCTGACAACATACTCCTCAAAGCCCCTGGAGTTCTGCTCTAAAACTCTTATTTTTTTTAACATATCTCATAAGAAGTGCTGCTAGAACATCAAGTACTACTGAATTAGATAGAGCAGGGGGGAAATACAGCTGTTACTTATTACTGCAGTAGTATGTAATACTGTATTGCTTTAAGACTGCACCTTAAATGCAAAGCTCTGAAGATCAGAAGCTCACCACTTTTTCACAGAACTAAATAAACACAAAACCAAAAAAATAAAAACCAAAAAAAAACCAAAAACCCACTGTTTTTTGGATTTAACCTTTTATATACTACAATGACTGAAGTTTTCAACTACTGGATAATGCTCCTCCCATTTAAGAAGACAAAACCTAAAATGTAATACAACCCCATGTGCTATATATTAGACTGAAAGAAAAATAAGTTTTTAATACTGGAATATACTTCATATACAGTAACTTACCTGCTGTCTGTGCAGGGTTTATTCCTATACCATCTAGGAAGAAGGAAAAAAAAAGAGAAAAAGGAAGATGAAACAGACATATTCCAATTTATTACATTAAACTTGCAGCTCAAAAAATATACCAGCAAGATACAACTATTACATGAAGTCATCATGCAGCTATTTCCTATAGCCAAAAAATGGGAAGTGACAAGAAAGCTTCAGCATAGAAAAGTCCAAGCTATACATTTGGACAAAACTGAATTAGTGGTTTAGTATCTTCACCTCACACATAAGAAATTCAAATAATGCTGTAATGTTATTAAACACAGTTTGCAGTATGTAGTGTTTGTGAAACATGAGACAGTATTGATTTTATCAATAAACTTTCAGTGAAACTTCAATGCAAAAACTATTAAAATATATATAAACTATATTCTTACCATTTGTTATAATGGCACTTGTTGCTGCAGGAACTTTGAACTAAAGAAATAAGAGTAGGTCAAAACAGCATAAGAGACATATAAAGCAGAAAAATATATGGGTAATATTAAAATTATAATTTTAGCTGGTTCACATACAAAAAAATGAGGAAAGAGGTCCTTGAGATTTATAGATATAAGTAACTTTAATGGAAATGGATGATTATTTTAGTAGCAATTCCACAAATGTAATGGAAATTTTTTTCAAACTATCATGCAAATGTATACCTTAGACTCTATACTACCAGGTAACTCTAAAATATGAAAGAAAAACCCAATAGATACCACACACTAAAAATGAGGTTTTTTTCTACTTAGGGCAAGTCTGATTATGAGTTGGCAAATTCTGAGTTTTTGAGAGATGTCTCAGTAGAAACTTGCTAAGGCCAAATAGCCAGAACTTAAACACTGCTCTGCCCTGAGAATATAAATCACAGAGAGGATAATACACTTCTCCTGGAGAACAACAAACAACTTTGCCCATATTTTGATCTTTTCCATATACGTATAACTTAAGGTACTGTGAAAGTGGTTCTTGAATCACAACACACTACATAAATTAATGTTAAGCTATGCAGTTCAAGGAATGAAAAAACATTCATATAACACAAAAGTTATCTGTCATTCTTTTCAATGCCAATTCATAAGGGGCTTCATTCCTGGGGAAGAGTTAACAATCTTTTTTTTGCTCTTTAACAAAGGACTTCACTCTTCCTGGTCTCAAAGATATGCAAAATGCTTCAGCGCTGATCCAGAATAGGCTGAATTCAAACCCTGATAGATACTCAAAATACTCACACCAATTAAAAGAATGGCTTGCTAAATGCAAATGTTTAAGTCAGTAGTGATTCTCTAAATTCATTACTCAGATGAACCTATCACTAACATTGTGTTTCCATAAGAAGGTGAAGTTAGCAGGTTCAGTGGCAACCCCCACCAGAAATGGCACCTCCCTTTCAACATCTCCAACTACTCAGTCACACTCATTTCTGGTACCTCATACTTGCTTGTTAGACTTTTCAGTCTAGGTCTCTATGTATGGGTTGTGTAGGCACAGGTGTATTAATAGAGAATAAAAATAACTGGGGAAAACATAGTAAAAACCCCCAATTAAATAATCAAATATCTTTAACAGCAGGTAATATTCTGTATAATTCTCTTCAAGTAAATTTACAACAAAACCAATCCACAACTTTCCCCCAGAAGCTGTGTTTCCTGTAGTAATTTCTGTCACATCGTGGCGTAACAGTAACAACCAAAGAAGACTCAAGATCGAGTCTATTATCCTTCCTATTTCATTGCAATTGCAATGCTCAAAGAAATGAAATTTTCAATAACCCAAAACTTCCCAGGTTTTCCTAACAAGACAGGGAGAATTGCAAGAACAGACTCCCAGCTGACTTTATGCTAGTTAGATTAAGAGACTCATCATGCTTCCGAGCACTCAATTTTACCGTTTACATCCAGTGAATGTCTCCTAATCTTTGCACGTTTAATCTGAAACAATGTGATACATCTCTTCAAACACATTATGTGGGCCATTTAAACACGTAATGATATAGGATTCATTGTGAAAGATCATCACACAGAAGCCAAAGAACACACTATCCACATTTTCCCTTAAGACAGTTTTTTGAATCTATCCCATATGGCTGATCTCAATACCTTCCACAATCAAAACCTCCATGTCTGCCAAAATCAGAGATTACTAGAACTGAATGTGAAAAGAATTTAAGAGTTTCCTGGATAATTCTGAAGAACTTTCCTGATATTCCCATAAGAAATTTCAGTATTAAGTATCCAAGAGCAATACCTTTTAATTCTCTTCAATGTCACAAATTTTATCACTGCTATAAAACAGTTAATTACAAAAACCAGAAATCACCTCAATACCATCTGCTGATGCATAAATTGTGCAAAGATCACTAAGTTTAAGATTCTGAAAGCTCTGCTAGGCCCCCACTGAGAGCCAGTAAAGCTTACAACCATCTGTAACCAACAGCACTTCTTTGTGCTGTATTAACCACTGCATTTTTATAATTAAAAAAGCTTTACCTTTCAAGAACATGCAAAATGTTAAAACCTAACATCATCACTTTCCACTTACTTCTTCTGCAGCAAACTTGAGGACAGCTGTGAAAGGTGTGCTCTCAGGCACGCTTAACCTGAAATCACAACACAAGTAAATACGTGGCTGCTAAAACAAACCGAAAAGCAGCTTTAGCTGCCGTTAAACTACTGACTGAAACTTCATTTTTACCAATGGAAATACTTTTGCCAAAGCTGTGCAAGTACTGTTCAAGGGTCCCTGAGGGATATGAGATGCTTCAAGAGAAACATTTCTAGCAGAGAATAGGAACACCTTTAAATTTCAGCAGATGTGGCAAATCTCAGGAGGTGTGGGATTAAGCTCCATAGCAATGTCCTCGCCAAGAGGAGAGAACTCGGCCTCAAGCTGTGGCAGGGATGGTTCAGGTGGAAGATCAGAAGAAATTCCTCACTGAAAGGGCTGTCAAGACATTGGAACGGGCTGCCCAGGGAGCCGGTGGAGCCACCGTCCCTGGAGGGACTCGGGAGAGGTCCGGAGGCGGCCCGCAGTGCCAGGCTCTGGCTGACAAGGCAGAGATCGGGCAGAGGTTGGACTCCATGACCTCAGCGGTCTTTCCCATCCCGAATGATTCTGCGAGCCTGGGGAATACGCGCACGGCGGTGGGGCAAAGCGGGAAAGCGCCGAAAGCAGGGCTAAGCACGGACACCGCCTGCCATCCCACACGGAGGGAGACGAGCGCCGCTCCCGCCGGCGGATGCCCCGCCGGGACTGCCATCGGAGCCATCCGCGATGTGCCCCGTTTCCGCTCCCCGCCGCCCCGCGCGGCACTCACACTTTGTAAGGCAACCGGGGGTCCGAGGTGAGCGTCACTTTAAAGGTGACCTTAGACCTGTGGAGAGAGCAGAGGGTGAGGCCGGGTGAGGGAGCGCGGGGGCTGCGGGACCCCCGGGCCGTCCCGCCCTCCCTCACACTCACATGGTGCCGCCGGGGCCGCCGCCGCTCCCACCGACACGTCAGCGCCGCCCGCACCACGGGGCCTTCGCCCGCCCTGAGCTGCCCGCGGCGCGCCTGACCACAAAGAGAAGATAACGTGCCCCGCCGACCCGCTGTGAGGCGGGGAGCGGCCGTGTTTTTCCTCGGTGCCTTACTGTATCTGGGAAAGAGAGAGTCTGAGGGGTGGGCGAGGTGCAGCGGAGAACGGCGGGGAGGATTTCTACTGAGGCGGTTGCAGTGGCTGTTCCGCGGCCGAGGTAGGACCTCGGCACCGGGACTTCCCGGCGCTTCCGTGGGCGCTACAGGGAGGCGCGGGCGGGGCCGGGATCGGGGTCGGGATCGGGATTAGGCCGGGAGCGCGGGATCGGCGCACTGTGGTCGCACTGGGAGTATGCAGGAGTGAGGGGTTTGGTAGCCGGAGACCATATCTCGTGTGCTGTGCCCAGTGGTGGACTCCTCAGTGCAAGAGGCACGGGGCTCCTGGAGTGGGTCCAGTGCAAGAGCACAAAGGTGGTGAAGGGTCTGGAGCATCTTAGGAGAGAAAGAGGGAGAGGAGAGCTGGGCCTGTTCAGTCTGGAGAAATGACTGAGAGGGGATCTCATTAATGCATATAAGTACCCAAAGAGGAGTGCCAAGAAAATGGTGCTGGACTTTTCAGTGGTGCCCAGCGACGGGGTGAAGAGCGACGGCCAGGAACTGAAACACGGAAGTTCCATCTCGACATGAGGAACAACTTCTTTACATTGAGGGTGGCAGAGCACTGGAACAGGCTGCCCATTAAGAACCCACCTGGACACATTCCTGTGTAATCTGTTCTAGGGGACCCTTGGCAGGAGTTTGAAGTGGATGACCTCCAGAGGTCCTTCCCAACACTAATAATTTGTGATCCTGTTGTGCTCTCAAATCAAAACTGTCTGCAGATGCATGTTAAAGTTATGCAGACAAGATGCAAACACTGATTCCTATCCCCTTAATATTTAAAACTACTCACATCTTCCTTGTGGCAAGGGAGCTTGAACTGGAGTTTTGTTTGGATAGTGATGGATACTTTTATGGCGGAAAAACAGCAGGTTCCAGTTTTGTTTGTCTGTGACTTGACAAATCAGTTTCTCTTTGTGGCATGGAACTACAAAGTATTTTTTATCTTTAATACTCATTTATCTGATAATAATGACTGAGTTTTCAACTCTGATATGTCAGTATTTTCCTTATAGAAGATACTTTGTCAGATTTCCCCAGTTTCTGCTGTCTGCAGGAAGGACAGCATTCACTGCAGATGAAGTTCTTGGTGTCACACACTGCTTGCCAGACTGATCATGGCAAAGCACTTTGTTGTGTTCACTTTCGCTGGAGTCTCATTAGGGTTAAAGTAGATGAGATGCTCTACAAAAGGCAGGTTTTACATAGGAATCATAATTTTTTTTTTCCTAAGGACTGGCTTCTTGCCCAGGTATGAAATCCAGCTTTTTACCCTTGTGCTGTTCTTATATGAACATAGATCAAACTAGAAAAAAAAATTAAACAATAATTTCACTATCAGTGAAACTGTCCAGTGGCCTTCATATTTCTCAGTATCTCCTATTTATGTTACTGTGTCTTTTTTCATAGCTGTATTGAATCTGTGTATTGTACACATATTGTAATCCATTAATGATCTCATGGCTTTTTCATCCCCCTGCTTTAAATATGTCCTGAAATTTGAGCTAATTAATAGTAATGTCTTAGTATTTAACCTTGCATTTAGTGCATTTAGCTAAATGTCATCCTATATGTATCATTGCCCTTTTCAAAATCAGCTGGTTTTTTAATGTATGTATGATGTTATGGCTTTGCCTTATGTTGCTCTCTTTATCTACAGCTTTCATTAATGCATTGCTGTCTCCTGTTTTCCAAGTTCTTGAATGCAGATGAGAAATAAAAGACTGATCTTTTCAGCACTTCATTATGGCCTCTTGCTAAAAGTACTTCTCCTCTGAGAAAATAAGCAGATCCAAATTTTCATGCTGTTGGAACTGGACTGTGTTTAGTACCCAGATTTCCTTGGTTAAATCCAGTTTGAGCATATGTGTGCTATAGTGCTGAGAACAGTGTAAATCCAGGCCTGGCTAGTCCTGTGTTCTGGCCATGTGGTCTTGTCCTCTGTCAAGCAAAAGAGCCAACATTGGTGATCAGGTAGGGGATCTGTTAAGGAAACTGATTTGACAAAACACCCCAAAATTTCCTTTTAGTTGGTTTAATTAAGTTATCTTCAGAAACCACCAGCAAAGAAGGAGATGAGGAAGCACAGCTAGTTGGCAGTGATACTGTACTGCACCTTAGGTCAGCTTGAGATGCTGTGGAGCTGTATTCTGAGCAGGCATCAAGAGTTTCATGGTAGTGCCAGGGGGTGGTGGACTGACCCTGGCTCGATGCCGGCTGCCTAGGGAAGCTGCTCTGTTACTCCCCTCCTCAGCTGGACAGGGGAGTGAAAACATAATGAAAGGCTCATTGGTTGAGATAAGGGCAGGGAGACTTCAGTCCCCAATTACTGCCATGGGCAAAACAGACTCAAGTTGGAGAAATTGTTTATCAAACTAGAGTATGGTAATGAGAAGTAAAATGAAATCTTAAAAATATCACCCCCAGCCCCTGCCTTCTGGACTGAACATTGCCTCAGAGTTCTCTACCTCTTCCCCCCTGTAAGGTCCCTTTCACAAACTACTCCAGTGTGGGTCCCTCCTGGGGATCACAAGTCCTGTGGCAAACCAACTGTGGCACCTGGAGAACCTCTTCCCACTCCTCCACTGACCTTGGTGCTTGCCGAGTGGTTTCTTTTGCATTTTCTCAGCCCTCTCCCTGCTCTCCTGTGGTTTTGGTTTTTTTTTCCTCCTTGAATCTGCTGTCCTAGAGATGCTGATGGGCTCTTGCTGATGGGCTCAGCTTTGGCCAGCAGCAGGTTCATCTTGGAGCCATGGGAAGCTTTTGACAGCCTCTCACAGACATCCCTGTAGCCCCTCCCACTACCAAAAACCTTGCCATGCAAACCCAACACACAGGGTTAGGACCTTCTGATGTAGAGTCAGGAATCCCAGTGATTTCACAAAAGAAAGACCTTTTCAATGTTGCAAATTCAGAATTTTCCCATGCTGTCTCAACCTGTTCAAAATGCTGGCAGGGTTGATTTTTTTCCTTTTATGAGAATTTACAGAGAAGGAGAATGCACATGATTTTTCTCTTTTAGTTGGGAGAGTTAATGGGACTCATCCTGTCTGCAAACAAGCCAGGGCTGCTTTAGAGGATTGTATTAAATTAATGGGTTTATATAGAGCAACATTCTCTTCAACACCAGAAAAACTGATTCATTAAAAAAAAAATCTGTCCTTTTTTCCCTGTGACTAAAGCCAGAAAAAAAAATTAATTCCTCATAAAATTTGTTTTTTCTACAGCTCTTAATTACCCAGACTCAAATATGTTGTGTTACAGCAATGAGACCTAACTTTGACTTTCCTAGCTGTGTAAATGACAAAAGGAATGACAATTTCAGCAATTAATTAAAAGAGTTTGGATCTCTGGCAATATGTAAACACAGTTGTTCAACTGAAGGCTTTTAGGTTAAGAAAATGAAAAAAAAAATTACAAACCAGAAAATAACAATATAGCCCCGTGGATGTTACTGAGATGAGCTAAAATACCTCTGACAATTCTTACGCCAAGACATTCTAGTTCTTAATAGCATTGTAAGAGAAAATAACTTCAGTAAATAGAAGCTGTTCATCCCACATGCCTATATTCCTCCTGGCTGGGCCTAGTGTAATTGAGCTGAGAAGGAAAATAAGCAGACCAATAGCTACAGCACAGAGTAGAAAGTACTGGTGAAATGTGTTCATTGTTACTTAGCCTGCTTTAATTCTTTCCTGCTTTGTTTCCTAGCCTCCCTTGCTATAGTCTCTGTTAGCTACAATATATTGCCATGCATTCAAGTAGAGCTGCTCCATGATACAGAACTGGGACAATTTCCTGCTCCTTCAACAAGAAATGAACATGACCAGTTTGGTGTCTGGCCATAAAATTGTGTTTGTATTTTTGCAAGATTTCTCCTTTGTTTGTGAAGCACAGACTGTGACTTAAATCGTCTAACCTTTGTTACATTTCTGTGTTCATGAGTACACGTGCCATTTGAAAGATGCCAATTTTTGTGCCCATTTGGAGGAAGAGCTTATTACATAAGCATCTATGCTAAGAACTCTATGGAAATATCAAATATGAAATTTTAAGAAATGCAGTAAAACATCTTCCATCTGCAAAATGTGCTTTTAGCTTGTCAGTTTTGGACTGAATAATTAATGTTTGACTTCTAGGAATCTTTGGTGAAAAAATTCTGAATTAAGCCTTTTAGCAGGTACCAGAAAATTAGGTCTTGGAACCAGCATACTTTTCTTCTATGCTTGCAGTGAGTTAAATAATAAGCATTGCCAAGCAATGTGTTACATGAGGGAGAGGCAGAAGAAGCACAGCATTTCTCCAACCAACCACTTCTATACCAAGCACATGGAACAGTGTGATCCCTTCAGCTCTTAGTGAGGCTGGGATTTCACCAGGGGGATTGAGTAGTGCTAACTCCCTTGAAAAAGGACAAGTCCTATTTTTTACCCCCGCTTTGCATTGCTGTCTGTTCCTGGCCTTCTGGCTACTTCTTGACCTGTTTTTGTACTTGGGGGACCCAGCAGTGAGTCAGTTAAATCAGCAGAAGACATGGATGTTTCCCTGCTGACTTAGCATTGAACCAGCTCAGGGAAAGGTCTGAGCTGACACAGCAGAAGAGGCAAGGAGGTCTTCCCCTTTTGTCAGCAGGGAATCACAGAATCATAGAATTCCTTAGGTTGGAAAAGACCTTTAAGATCATTAAGTCAAGTGTTAACATGTTTGGACTTGCTGGTCTTAAAGATCTTGGGAATGAGGTTTCCTCTTGTTACCATTTCCTATAGTCAGGGTGCTGGAGTCCTCCTTTGGCTGGTACATCCCCTTAACTTTCCTTTGGCTCAGTGTGATGGCATCCCTTGGAACTC